CGCCTCTTATCTTTTGAACCGCCCCTCCCTGCCGTACCAGGCCGACCAACGGGAGAAGATTGCATCGGCGAAGTCCACGAGGGCCGGCGGGCATGGGATTCTAGCGGGTGCCCATAACAGCTCAAACAGGGAAGATGCGTATGCTCGAGAATGCTCTGACGTGGTACATACATTTGCATGCAGCGACCTGAAGACTTGCCCTGCTTCCCTGACCCAACAAACAAGCTTGCTGGAGCGTGCATAAAGAACTTGCATATGCGATGGGTGTCGATCAGCCGTGAGAATGAAGTGATTTCATTTAATATATTACATGTTTCTGGAAGACAATTGATAGACGTGGTGATTAGGCGAGGCAAGTAGCGCGCGGCGTATGCTGTGTTGTAAGTTTAAAGGCAAAGTTCGGGATTTCTGGCGAAATTTAGGTTTCCCCGTCAAATATGCAGCAGTACGCAAGGGCAGACCATGTGCAGAAGTGGCGGGGCGATTTGACAAGGTTTAGGCGCTAGGAGCCTAGGTTGGAGCATTGGCGCCGCCCCAACCCCATTGAGCCCGCCCACCGTTACGCGATCTTCCAAACAACCACATGGAACACTAGATGTTAAGCCGTTGTTTGGAAGGTCGTAGAGGAATATTTAGCGGATTTCAACTGCGAAAACCAACATCAAAGCCTATGTTAAGACCATTATCGAGAACCTAGTCATTCATTCTAGTGATAATCAAATTTTTGAGATAGGAAAAAAAAAAAAAGCACAGGTAAATAGAAAAAATAGCGAAATTAGAAGCAATCAGTTTTCATTGCTGACTTTTTGTAGCCGTGTCGGTTGCTGGCATAAAGCCAACAGTTGCTGTAGACACGTCCAGACACGTAATTCTCCCAGCCCTGGCTTCTAAGCGACTAACGAAGAGAAATTTCTTATTTTGGACTTTTTTGGGAGTACTTCCTGCTTTTTTCTTTAGCTTCGATTCACTTAGCACCCAGTACTTCATAGTTGAACAGGTAAGTCCCACGTTTTATCTCGGAGTTTGCTTTCAAGGTCAACTACACTAGACATTACCCTAGCTTGATGTTGTCAAGGATCCTTCTATTTTATAAAGCGCTAACTTTGTGTGTCGGTTTGTGTATGTCTGTATGTGTGTGTGTGTATGTATGTATGTGTGTCTGTCCGTCCGCAAAATGAAGTGAGTGAGAAGGAAGCTCATGGGATAAACAAACCGCTAACAAATCGGGTAGCTTACAGGATTTGAGATATCAATGTAATAGAATAATTGTGATAACACTTCTACGGCTATATGAAACACCTACTACCAAGGACCCCTTTCTTCGCTTTCTGTTGTTCTCCTGTTTTTTTTTTCGAAGACGCAAAGAGTTGCACCTTTGTCTTCAGATTTCAACACTTTCAGCTTATCGCGATCGGTGCCTTTAGGTTCAATGTTAGCGTCTTAGTGGATGTGTACATATATTGAAGAACTTAGCAATAATAATGTATGCAACTTATTGTAATAAACAAATGTCCTCAAAACTCTTAAAGATATCGGAAAGCTGACCACTTCCCCTAATTGCTGCAACACAAATCAACGATGTACAGTATTTATCTCGTTTCGAGGGTAACAAATAGGATTAATGAAATATTCTCATATCACTTGTATGTATATAAACAGCAGATAAATTTTATGAGCTCGTCGAGAAATCGTCGTTTTTGGAAATCCATTTGTTTACATCTTGCACATGGTTGCCGATTAATCATTTTTTCTTCATAGCAGCCTTAATTTATTTCCATCAGAAATGGAGCTATTACAGGGCTTTTGCCACACCGTCAAATACAACATGATTAGGTGTAAATCAGACTCCCAAATAGTCAAAGAATGCAACTAATCAATCGTTCAGAGGTAAAGAACACGATGGCTGAAGGGCGGAACGGTTTTGGTCGGATTCATTGAAGGACCTGCACATTAAAGATGTGGTTGGGACGTCTCCCGAGATTTTTTCATACCGGAAAGGACGTATCCATCGTCCCTTTTTTCAGACTCTAAAATGGCGAAGAGGTTGTAGCATTAGTTTAGTGAAGTGCTGTAAATCTGGAGAGACTGGCTAGATACACCATCCGATCTTCACGCTAAGATTAAGGGGAAGTAGATCGTGGGTGTGTAATTATACGTGCGCTTGATGATAGGATGGTAAGAAAGTCCCGAGTTGTTTGAAATTTTTTTTGCTTTACTGAACATTGCAATCACCATTGACTAACTGCACTGTCTCACCTGAAGGGCAGGTCAGCGATCCACTTCTCTAAAAAGTGGGGAGACTGGGAGTCAGAAAATCGTCTGACGGCCCTTCAGCGTTTCAGCTTTGATGAATTTTTCTCTAGAATGTCTGAGGGAGCGAGTTAGTGAGTCAGAGGGGCAGTTCAGGGGAGTAGTGGTGGGTGTGAATCGCCCAGCTGTCCAATTGCACGGTTTCCATATATGGTCTACGTATTAGTAGCGACAGACGCTGGTCTCGTTTGTTTTGCTCGAACAGCATTCTCTAGTTTCTGGGGCCGATTGGTGTAAATGTTGTAGGACGGTGTATCCTTGCTGGAGCACGCAATACAATAATCCTCGCTAACCCCAGAAGAAGCAGCACAGAAGACACTTCCTAGGGCAAAGGTTCAATTTTGCTTGCGTCGGCGGACCTTCTCCTTCGGCGAGCCACACGGTACAGCGCTTGCTAGAATCGCCAGGACTTAACTCTCAAATCCCAATATTACTTCTACCAGAAACAATTTGTGCTCCCGAAGGCGAAGGATGACAAACGATACCGGCTGCGAATCGTTGCTATTGGTCAAGACGTGAGGAAATCATCACGTAAGCACATTTCCGTAGCAACGGCATGGAGGCAATCAGTTACTGTTGGATGGGTACACCCGACTTTTGCCTTAAGGCTGCGGGCCTTAACCTTTGAATCCTCTTCGACTGCATCGAGAATTGAGTCTCCACTAGAAGTCTAAAACTTGGTCTGTCTTCCGGAAACAATGCATCCTCCTCTGGAGCGTGCAAACTAGCGCCTGACACTGCTGATGGAAGTGATGAATTCACTGTTGATGGTGACGGTTTCCATTGCACCTGTGCCACGACGCCATCCATAGAAGATGATCGTTCACGATCAATATTTGGAAGTTCTGGAACTTACAAGAAATCTGTTTAAGACTTTTCTCGACCATGCCAAGTAGAAGTCAGCGTCTTTAGCTTGCACTGTTTCTTTGAAGTGAATTACTGCAGGAACCATCATACATACAATACACAAAAGTCGCACTGGATGCTGGGAGAGCGCTCTAAATCCCTGTCTGCCTAGCGCTCATCGTCGAAGCGCTGACTATTTCACCATCAGTCATTCAAAGCAACACGTTCAGCGAAGGTCTATCGAGAATGCTTTCAGTGGGTGGGTCTTGGCCTACCATACCACAGAAGTATCGATGCGCGCTGGCAATGTGCGCAAATGCTTTGAGTTTACAATTCCCTTTGCCGACTAGTTCAGCATTTAGACGAGTTACGTCGCACACACCCGCGTATAGCGTCTAATTCAATATGCCGCGCGACTATTTGAAACCGTGGCGCTGAAAACTCGGGTTCGGGGGGGGGGCACACAATGGCGCGGCGCTGTTTTCGTCTGCTCTACCAAGGCTTAGTCACCGATGGCGCGTATTTTGAAACTGCCACATAATGGGCGAAAGAGAGTAACTGTCCCTGTGGACTAAGCCCTGGAGGAGCAGACGAACAGAGCGCCGCGCCATCGCGTGCCCCCCCCCCTAACCCGAGTTTCACCGAACCGTGTAGCAGGCAACTTCGCACAACTTGTGTGACCTTGTCCTACCTTATTTCAAGAGGAATCCTTGTTAAAGGGCTTCATCGGCTGTTTTCTTTGCTTTTGTTTTTGTTTTGGTCAACTCGTTATCCGCGACTCTATTGTCGACTATGCCGTAATTCCTCAAATTAATTCAATGTGGCTGAGGCGTGGATAGGAGGGGGGGGTGCTCCAATGTACAAGTACAATACACAATAGTATCGCAACATGGCGCTAGCTAACGCACAGACAGATTTTGATTTTCCTTGAGGGAACACAAAAATTTTTAAAGATCCATAAGACAAAAAAAACAAAACAGGTCTTACTTTGGTGTACAATATGAGCGCATGGTAATATCGCATTGAATTCAAACACACTGAGTGGCCGTTCACAAACACTGCACGGCTGTTGTTTGGAGAGAAAACGACGGTAAAAGAGAACATGTGAGTCCACGTGGATCTTGTCCCGATTAGGGCGTCGCTTCTGAAACGTGAGTCTATTACGAATTATCTATACTTAAACGCAAGAATAAGTTAAGGAACATGTTATAAATAGGATGTATACTGTAACCCTCGTTTCGCCAGAGCGCTCGTTCAAGCTCTCCCAGCGAAGCACTGTCAGTCACTACTAAGGCCGATGTCATAGTTTGCGAATCGAGCGATTCGCTAGATCCGAGCGTTGCGTCAGCGAATCGAACGTTGCACCAGCGAATCGAACTTTGCGCCAGCGAGTCGAACGATGTACCAGCGACTCAATAGTGGCGGGACCCAACGTTCAAAGGAAGCCGCCACTTTCAAACAGTGTCACGTGACAGTGGACGCTGTTTGAAAGTGGCGGGACTTGACAGTGGACACTGTTTGAAAGTGGGGCTTCCTTTGAACGTTGGGTCCCGCCACTATTGAGTCGCTGGTACATCGTTCGACTCGCTGGCGCAAAGTTCGATTCGCTGGTGCAACGCTCGGATCTAGCGAATCGCGCTCGATTGCCGGGCCTTGTTGCATCTTCATTATCACATAAAACAGCCAGTACTCTGCGCGGGCATGCTCGACGCATTCTCTCTTCGTTGAGAGGGCGCAGAGAAAACGAGAAGTGGGTGCCGAGCACACATGGAAAATCGATGACACGTGACATTGCGCGCCCCAGTGCAACGTCGAGAGGGTTACGGTATACAGCCTATGTTCCTGAACTTATAATCTTGCAGGTTATGTAAAAATTATACAAAAACGGTGGTCTTTATTCTATTTAGTTTATGATTTAAAGGCACACCCAAACAGAAAATCGTGTAATCGTTTTCTTCCTTGTGTAGGCTCTCCAGACTAATACCAGATGCCGACAAAAGAATCATCCCAACAAGACACTATGACAGATGCCAGTCTTAGTTTTCCTTTAACCGGGTTACTGTCTGGCATACTCTCATGCGCTCTATCACGCTCTCTTCTCCACGCTTGGGCAGCTTTCATACTTTGGGCCGGTGCGGACGGGAAACGTGCTGAAAAGGGTGAAGAGCGTCAGTACGCGCTGCAACATTTTACAATTGTTTCTCGAATGTCGATTACAATTTTGTGTGAAACGAAAGGTAATCGAATGAAACGTGAAGTGTGAAATATCAAATAAGACAACAAAGAAGAAGTCTGAGCCAAAAAAAACAGTAATGACGCAGAACGGTCTCACTCTAAACATCGAAAACTAGAAGGAATACACCGAACTTACGATTATTAACCGGAAGGCGCCAGCTGCGCTCCAAGTACGCGTCATGCGCCAGTGTGTGTACTGATGCTCCTTCACTGTCTTCGCACCGACCGCACGACCGCACCGGCGCAAAGTATGGAAGCAGCCTTAGTCTCTCATTGCCTTAGCACAGTGGTTACAAAGGGGAGTAAGCTCTCAACCTAGGCGTTTCCGATCATTATTCACTGTCAGCCCATTTCGTTCCAATAACTTCGTATTCCGGCTCAAGGGCCACACTAATTTGATCCTGGGGCGCGCTTTAACTTCGCGTTATACTCAGCAAAATCATCCTGTATTGGTAAGTGAAGACAGTGTACACGGTACGTTAGTGCGCTGTACGAAATGACATGTGAGACCAATGGTGTAATGGTGAAGAATAATTGAGGCAAACGCTGAGCCCCAAGTAAGCCCTGATTTCTGTCGTGATGCCGTGCTGCTTGCAAGCTTCGCTATAGATGGCATCACGTCATTCGTTCCAATTTCTTTGATCAGTTTCAAGAGAAGCACTCCCAGTCGTATTCACTCACGGTGCTAAGTGGGTTGGGGGGACCACGCGGCGGTGCGGCGCTCGTCTGCTGCTCCAGGGGACAGTTACTATTTCATCGCCACGTAGCAGTTTCGAAATACGCGCCATCGGGGACGAGCAGAGCGCCGCGCCGCCGCATGGTCCCCCCTCAGCCACTGCACCCACTCACATCACTTATAGAGTAAACCGCAATCCTATCGTCTTATTAGGAATTCAGCTGCTGCACCTACCTGTTATGAGAGACTTCTGACTTGGGCTGCAGTATGAAGTTCCGCCATCGCTTCCTGCTCCAATTCGAGTGACTGGTATTGCTGTCAGAAACTCCGATGCTCCGAAAAGTATTCGGGGCGAGACGTGGACTGGCACCGTGAACATGATATGTCATGCGTTGAAAGGCGGTTTTATAGTTGTTTCGCTTGCTTGTGTGTTCCTGCTGATGCTTTCTCTGCAAAAAGGCGCTCATCCAGTAAGGGGGGCATCAAGTGGCTGCCCTCACCCCCCACCCCCCTAGACTGCCTACACTCCCCCTGGCGCACAGGTTTCTCGAAGTACGGGACCCCGTGAGCCAGGGGGAGTGAAGCCAGTTCAGGGGGTGGGGGTGAGGGCAGCTATTAGACGTTGCATCACAATGCCCCCCTTACCGGATGAGCGCCAAAAAATTAAACTCCAGATTGTTCGTCCCAAGAGATGCCTCTAATTGAAACAGTCCGGAAAAATTAACGGTTTGGGAGCGGAAAGGGGAGGAAGATTCCTCCCAAGCGCGCCGCGTCGCAATTTCCGTAAATGGGCGCGGTCTTCGGTGACAGACTCCCACGCATGGAAACTAATGCATCGAACTTCGAAATTAAATCATTCATTTGCCGAGGAAGTAGTGCCAGTTTGTAACAGCGCCTCTGCGTTACCCTAGGGCGCGCAGCCTCACCAGCCGTCTAACTCTTGAGTGGGAATAACTTCTAGGTGCGCAGTCCTACTTTCCCTTTTTTTGCGTCTCACCCAGTAAGGGCATCGCGATGCAGATCCCCGAGAAGATTACTGTAGGCAAAATAACCCGTATCGGAAATAAGTCCATGATATATCAGAAATCAGTTGTCTTGTTATAAAACTAGTTCGAAGGGGTGTCAGGACATCTTCAATCGTGAACCTTTGGCGGTTCAGCGTTTTGTGGTGATGTCTGGGAGCTTCCACAAGTGCACATATCACAGTATCTCCTCTCTCTTTATTTTCGCAAAGTCCCAATAGACCAACTACGTGTACTTTCCAGCTACGCTCTCACCCTGTGGTGACAAGCCTCTAGCCTTGAAGGAGTCAACTCGTGCTCAGAGCCGCAAGACATTCAAAGAGAATTTTTCACACTCGATCTGGCTTTTCTCAACCATCGAGTTCTGCCATCTTCATCTATTGTCTACGCCGTCCGAGCGGTTCTGTGAGGCCCACGCGGTGAATGTGAACTCTGAAGACCGCTTAGATCAACAAAGGCCAATTTTTCAAGAAGCAATTCAGTGAAGGTAGGGTTTGTAATAAGGGAGCAATCCCACACTATCTTGCCCACAGCAGCAATACACAAGATAAAAAATGCTTACACAACTGCTCCCTAACCGACCAACCACTAAAATAAAGATTGCACTAAAATCGGGAGCTAGTATTCGATATGATACCTACAAATGAGCGTCATCCACTGTATTTTCAAAAGAGAGTCGCGAACAACATGTCTTTGGAAGTCGACAAATAGCCTCCGCAGACAACTTTAGATTTTCACAAGCCAAGTAGAATAAATGGTCGCGAGAAGCTGTACAGCAAGGACACGTTGGGATCCCAGGAGCCCGTCGCCGGGGCGCATAGAGGAAAGTCAGCGGACGATCCGCCGCGTACTATAGATTTGTCACTTTAATGGAGGGCTGCCTCTTAGTTAGGGGGGGGGGGGGCACGCGGCGGCGCGGCAGTCTGCTCACCTGGGCTCTCTCGAGCGAGACAGTGTAAACTCGAACATTCCAGCTTTTCACGCATGTCAAGTGACTGCCCCCCCCCCACCCCCCTAGACTGCCTACACTCCCCCTGGCCCACGGATTTCCGAACATGCCAGGTGAGCATGACTGCCGCGCCCCCCAACTAAGTACACCAGGAGTGTCTATTGCACGTCCTTCACATCGCACACCACGCGTGCAACCCTGTCCGCCTACTCGTCTTCTTGCCCGCAACGGGCTCCTTTTGGTGGGGTACCAATGTGCTACAATTAGCTCGAGGTGACTGACTGCCCATTGACTCAGGAAGAAAACGGAAAAAAAATATAATAACGACAAACTAATACCTAAATGAATAGAACCACAGTGTTTCATCATCGGAGAGTTCGCCTTTATAAACCAAGTTTCTTGGCAGTTCCGCCTGTTGTCTGTTTTGCAGGATCTCCTCCGGAGATGAAAATAAGGAAAGCGACAAATGTGTTCTCTGAAGCATATTTTCGTGATTCCCTGAGAGAAGAACCAAACGGCCGAACCGCTCAGTAATAGCTAGGTATCTGGCGCTGGAGCGATCCTGAGCTCTTTGCTCGTGATAGCACGTAATAGGCCCACACAAGGACGATAGGCAGCTTGAGCCCTTTCCCCTCACTATTATCCTCCAGGTGAGGACCATTATGATTAACATTACTGAGGGTCATGGCAGCCATCACCACATGCAATTCTGCTATTACACGGTATGAGTCACACTCTTGACGACGATGTTGGAAAATTTTTGTCTGTTTTCCTCATTACGATGGATACCTGTATGCCAGCCTGCACGCTGAGTCAGACTCACCTGCAAAAAAAGGAAACAGCCGTTTGTCACTCACGCAAAAGTTTGATCTGTCTAAGTTATCGTAAAATTTACGTCCATTGGGTCCGAAGAGATCTGACGTAAGTTTATTCCAACAGTAGCCTCGCTTAATATCCTTTCTCCATGAATGGTGGGAGTCTCACTTCCTTCAATGGTAGTAGAATTCACATTTTGACTAACTGTCCGAGATAACAAACAATGAGACTTCCTATACAAAGGACATAGAGCGATGTAGAAACAAATATAAATTGTTTATTTTCTCGAAAGTACAAGGTAAAAATGTTCCGAGATGGTTTTTTCCCTAAAATAGTGAGAACTTTCTATGAACCCTTCTTAGGGCGTTTCTTTGATTTTGCTAGCTTTCGCCTGGACGACCTTCTCTTTCGTTCCTTGAGGACGCTACTCACAATGAGAACAATTCCAACAATCAAGAGAATAGCTAGAACGACACCCAAAATAACAATGCACATCACCGCCACTCTGAAAAGATCTTTTAAGCCTCGCTACACAAAGTTGTCGTCGAAGCAATGATGAGGAGTTCACAAACATGTCTGTTTCATGTTTCTTCTCAGCGTCGGTTGACAGACTTTCGGAAATACCTGCATGTTCGAGTTCTAAACTAATGCGTGTTTACACCAAGTTTGTGCATTTATTGGCGTTGTCGAAATTTGAATGTGGCTTCTCAAGGAATGTGTACTGTTTGGGATTAAAATCAATTTCATTTTGTAGAATCGACCCTCATCTATTTCATTCGAAGGAGGAGAATTTTCGTTTCATGAAGTACAGGGTGTCCCAAAATTATGGGCGCCTACACACAGCAATATATTTCAAGCTTCTAAACGGACGATGCTGACTGAATTTACACATAAGGTAAATTGCATCATCCCCAACAATGTGGAACAACTAGATATCGAAATACTCTCCAACGCGACTAATGCAAGCTCGAAGTCGCTTCTTAGGCTTCGCGCACGTTGCACGCAGGAATTCCTCGTCTATTTCTTCTCGGGCTCCCTTCAATGTTCCTTCCAGTGACTCGAACTGTGACGAAGAACTTGACACACCTTACTTTCGCTCAACGACCACACTAAGAGGTGAGGTGGGCGCGAACCTGGTGAAAATGACGGCCGTTCCTCGGTGCCAGCAAAGTCGGGCAACTGAACTCGGCACCACACTTGGAGGAACTTGGCCATGTAGGCCTGAGCACTTTTCTGCTGGAAACAACTCGGGTTATTTCCAAGGTAGGACTCGTGCCGAGCCTTCATTACGTTCACCTCAAGTGTCCGGATTTGCTGATGAACTTACCGAAATCAAAGGAAAACTAACGGCCCCTTACCACTGGACGTGGTGTTCCTTTAAACCGAAATTGAGACCAAGTTCGGTGATTTGCAAACAATCTTTTAGCGTGGAGTAGCACTCCTGACAATGCAATCTTTCTGGCTATTGCCAATCCGCTCTGCTATGGAAATTTTTTCCTCATAAGAAAGGGTGGTAGGGTGCGTGTCCTCACCGAGGCGGGTGAGCAACCTTCTGCAATCTTTGACCCTCTGTTGCTTGTTGATATCGAAAATGAGCTGACACTCCTGCATATGGTAGGAACGGCTATGTAGTTCTTCATTGACTACCTTTCCCATCGATCTTCGATTCCTCCAGCTCCTCCGCCATTCTTCTGAAGGAGCGTCGTGGGTCGCGGTCAATTTGAGAATGGAACCTTTCAGACACCCTTCCGGCAGAACGGCCAGCCTTTCTACCTCTCTTAGGCCTATGCATAATGGACGCTGTTTCCTAGTATCGTAGGATAACCTTCCGTATAACCCTTGTGGAAACTACAAAATATTTGACATTGTCCTTCATTGGGGTATCCACCTCGTGCATGCGAATGATCGCAGGTCGCAGTGAAAGACCTCCCGCCCTCCTGAAGATAGTAGGGATTTCACACCTACAATCAAACAGGTTACAAGAGGACCTTTGTGTGTAACTAATCATCAGCAAATGAAGGGAGAATAATCGAGTACTTTTGCCAAACAAATTTTTGAATTTTGGCGCCCATAATTTTGGGACTCCCTGTATATATTGAATCGATTCTATATGGGTAGCAATAAGGTGGCGCTTCAGGGCTCCTTTTTTCTTGAGTGAAGAAAAACTGTTGGTAAGGCTCAATGCATCCGTCCAATGGCTGAAGCTGATAAACCTTATCTGCTCAGAATTGCAAGAGATAGCTCGAAAGGCAAGAATCAGGATTGAATTGATGGGTGATTCCACTCAAATGTGAAAGTAGGGATGGGAGGTGGACCGCCAGTGGAGAAAAAAGGAAAGAAAATCCTGAAATACACAGGAAATACGAGCATTTTGCTCCATGCTGTGGAGAAGTTCAAAAGACAGGCAGGGAGATGAGAGATAATGTGAGCGCGGAGAGTGGTAGAGAAGTCCGAGAAGAGAGAGCATAGCAGATCAACGTAGCGACGCAGACAAGATATCGAACGGTGGGCGGACCATGTTAAGTTTGGTGGAGTCTGTTAGAAGTCCATGGCGCCTAGGGTCCTGTGACGCGTTTCGATGTAGAAAGGTGGCGCTACTTTGCACTTGCGTACCCAGCACTTCTAGCCATGGTAAGGGCTTCTTAGGTGGGTCTGAGCCCGAACTTTGCCTTTAAACGGCACGGATGCCACAACTTTGACCTAAAAGCCAAAGAATGGCGGGTAAGTCAATATAGCCGGGATAACAAGTAGCCTTGCATCGAAGCTGCCCAGACTAGCCCTCTCCACTCGAAACTTATTGTTAGTTGGTTTTCTTGATCTTGCGGCTAGCCACTTCCGCAAGCGGCCACATGGAGCAACGCTTACAATTTGGGGGGGGGGTAGGGAGGGGCGAGTATGTGAAGAGTAAAGAAATGCATTTACTCATTCTGTCACAATGCTCGCGTGCTGGCGACGGGAATGCTTCCTCTCGGGTGTATGTCATATGGCGCGGTCACATTGCCATTGGGGCGCATGAGCTGTAGCTGCCACCCAGGCGCCGTCCAGACCCTCGGCCAGATAACTCGTCCGCGTCACATTGCCATAGAATATCGTGATTGATCTGGTCCTAGCAAGCCTGAGTATTTTCTGTTGCTGTGCTACAGGGTGGGGGCAAAATTACTGGTGCACCTATACGTTTTGAATTTTTTAACACTTCTTGGAGATTTTCCTGTTTCACTCGCGCTTGTGATATGTTGCCTGGAGGTTGCGTAATTCCTACGTACTCGAATACAAAATGGTCCGTCGTTCTGACCTACGGAGCGCGATCATCAAACTTCACAACGACGGCAAGCAAACAAGAGAAATTGTGAAGATCCTTTCCGTACCTCGAAGGACGGTTCAGAATACAGTACGACGCTATAAAGAACTGAAGACCGAAGAGGACAGGGAAGGAAGAGGACGTCCCACAACAGCTACGAGTCGGAGAAAGAATTCGAAGGAACGCCAGGAGATCGATGCGCCAGATGGCGAAAGACGTTGGAGTAAGCGCGAGGTCAATGAGGAGGATTGTCAGAAGTAAGCTAAGGAAGTTCCCCTATCGCTTGCAGAAATGCCAACTCCTGACGGACATTATGAAGAAAAGGAGATTGGAGAGATGCAAGAAGTTGCTGTTCTGCAGCCCTCCAGTTCTCCTGATCTAAACCCGATGGATTACTCTGTGTGGTCCATCTTGGAGAGCAAAGCGTGTTCTACCAGACATCCAAACTTGGACTCTCTTAAGGCGGCGCTTTCAAAATCTTGGGACGAAATCGATGACCAGTACCTGCGTGCCACATGCGAAGCATTTGTCGAACGTCTGAAGGACTGTGTGAAGGCTAAAGGAGATCATTTTGAGAAGCATTAACATTTTTTGTATTGTCATGTTTGTAGTAAATAATATTGATAATTAGAATTGATTTGTGAGAATTATTGTCAAAATGCCATTGAAAATTTAGTGCACCAGTAATTTTGCCCCACCCTGTAGACTGGATTCTGGGAGATGCCGTCCCCAACTTCCACACATTCCGACCTCTTGGCTTTTTTTCCTAGCGCTGAATTTCGGCTGTGCACATACTATGAAGTAGCTGCGAAGTTACGTCGAAGTGATTGTGTCACGATCATTTCAGAGTTGTGATACATTGCATTTCACAGCAACTTGCAGCGCTTAAGAACTTTTTGTACAAGGTACATTTTGTTCAATCTACTTTATTATGCGCCATATGACCGCCTCCCCTTCCTCTCGGTTTTTGGAATGCCTTCACTAGAACTCTTTCTGGCCTTCTGCTTTATTGCATTCACATCTTACACTTCTCCATCCTATTCTATCGATCGATTTGTCTCTACTCTCCAAAATCGCGCGCTTTAACCCGATTCTTTCATTGCGTCGCCTGATACGTAGCCGGCCAAAGGCGAGCTTCTTTCCATGCCCCGCCTTTGGCTCCCGCCGCTTACCTTCGATTGTTAATAGAGAGAACTTCTTACTCTCGGAAACTTATAACAAAATTAGGCATTACTCACGCGTGTCAAAACCAACCTGAAAGCATTCTTGTGTGCGGTGCAGTTGCACCTTGCGTTCTGAATTCTCCCATATTCTCCTCTATAGTAGTGAGCGTTGTTCGATTCGCTAAATTAACACCTAACCATAAGACATTCGCAATGCGGAGTTGAGCAGAATAAGGAAAGATAAGGCTCGATTTCTCTCGCTTCAAATCACAGCGATCAAGCTTTTTGCAGTCGCCTCCCGAATTAGCGCAGAATTAGCAGGGCAGTTACTAGCGCCTGCATTTCTCACCAATAATGCAGAAGAACCTGTCTCGCATGAGGTTGCATTCCGGCAATGCTCAAGCAAGAGTGCTTCCATTTGTTGGGCTGGTTACACAGGGTACCCGACAGGAGGCCCGTCGCGCGGCAAGAAGGCAGAGTCAGCGGACGAGTCGCAGCGCGTGATGTGCGATGTAGGACGTACAATGGACATTCTATTTAACTTGACGCGAAATCACTACAGTACGCGCTGCGACTCGTCCGCTGACTCTGCCTTCTTGTCGCGCGGCCTCCTATTGGGTACCCGGTTACACACGACGCCCTCTTCTTAACCAAGTAAATATGTTGACAGCCAAAAGGGTTCCAGAATATCAGACGACGATCTTCAAAGCCTTGTTAAGGACAGTCTTTCCCTTGCTCAGGTTTTTTCTTATGGGCCTCGTTCTCAAGTAGTATCTTGTCGATATGCGTCCCTACTTGACTCTGGTTGGCACAAACTTCAGAATAGAATTTATTGAACTGGTTTTCT